CTTCCAGAAAAGCTTCGAGTGGTGGATCAAACGCTGGCACAAGTGCATCGCAGCCGACGGGGACTACTTTGAAGGGGACAACTTGAATTTTGAAGAATAAACATGTACTTTTCTTTTTATGAATAAATTCCGGTTATTTTTTGATCATGGTAGTATACATATTAAAATGTAATCGTGCAAAGCGCGCTGGGCTGTCCTACGCGCGTAAAACAGACCGATGCACGTTTATTCACGGATCTTTGTTAATTAAGATCTCGGTAATTATTGCGATTCTAGCAAAGTGGTTCTACCTGTCTACGAGAGATGTTACACCAATTCTGGGACACCCTGTATATGTATGTTATTCTAAGTGAAAAAAAGCAACGCAAAAGATTCATAATTTCTACGCGTAGTTTCCGTGACAATCAACGTTGTTACTTTCAAATCTGGCGTTTATCGAGAAGCTTCAATAATATACACAATTCCATAATATAAATACATCTTTTTATAATGTAAGCAGTGTGATTTTAATTTCGTCAAAGAATCTATTTTCAAAATTTTAGATCAATTTTTAGATATATAAATATTTCCAAAGCACGATAATGTTAAAAAAATAATCTTTAATTTAAGATATTTAACATAGTAAGACTCTTTTCTCTCCACTTTTTGTTAACGCGATGATAGGACACGATTGAACTTCTTTATATTGCAGATAATACAAATTTCCGAGACCAAGGAAGGCTTTTTAGATCTAAACGATTTGGAACGGGAACTCGCGAGAATGCGAAGCGAGGGCGTTGCGCAAATGATCGGATGCTTCAGCGCTGCCAGTTGCATAACCGGGGTTTTGGCAGATGACGTCGCGACAACCCTCTTACTGCACCAATACGGTGCACTCAGCGTGTGGGATTACACTACTGCAGGTAATAATTGCAAACGCATTACACGCAAGCGATAACGGAGAACGGATGAACCAATTTGCCAACACGATTAGTCGCCGTGCAATGCAATCCTCTATGCTATGAGTGACACAAAGTAAAACGAGCTGCTAATTAATAATCAATTGGATATAAAAACTATTGAATACACTTTGATAATATCATGTCACGCTAATTTCATGCGGCAAAACATTTTCCATAAAACCAAAGCTGTTTTTTATATGTATAAAGTAAATATGTTTTTACATGTATACTCCTCGTAAATATAACCTTTTCAAAAAAAAGGTAAGAACAGGCGCTAAGTACATGCACAACACGTATTATATATACTCGAGAAAAAATGGATTAGATCTAACAATTAAAGAAATTTAAGGCTCTGAAGTCTAAACTAAAAAAATATGAATAAGGTCATAAAAGCCGTTTTTGCAGGATGTTATGCCGAAATATACTTTTATATATATATTTATATATATATATATACTTTTATATATATATGTACTTTTATATATACTTTTATATATATATATATATATATATATATATATATATATATATATATATATATGTATATATATATAAGTGTTCACATGTAAATTTTTACACGTGAGATTTTGAATTGAAATTTTCAATTCTTAAAATCATACAGAATGCTATACTTGCATCTCATGTATGAAAGACCCTGTATACCTCTCGAACTAATTTTAAAATATTGCGAAAAAAACTCCTTAGCCAGGAGTCGAACCTGGAATCTCCGGCTTTCCGGGCCGTTGCCTTCCCTGCTAGACCACCGGCACTTGGAGTCCTTCTCACGTGTAAACATTACAAGTGAACACATATACAAGGTGTCCGTGAAATTTTGACACAGCCGAAGTATGAAGATAGAATGAGTGAAACTGAATCGAAATGTTATTTGCCATTTTGCGAAATTCGCAATAGTTATTGAGATATGAATTAATAAATGTGAACCAATGAGCGCGTGGAAAGCGATGGTTCTCTGTAGGCGTGTATGATTGTCAGTATAAGATTAATGGCATACATCTGGCATATATACATCTGTATTCGGCGGTTCGTAGCGAAGCGAGCAGCGCTCGAGGGGAGGTGAGAAGCCTCTGCTCTCCGCGATCAGCTGATCGACGCGATGTAACGAACAATTCTCTCTGTGTACCAAACAGTTTTGTGGTATTAAATGATCAATTTCTTTGATAAATTAAACAACTTATATCGGCGTAGTAACCAACGGTTTGATTGGTCATATATCAACAAAAAGTTTTAGCGTCAATAACCAAGGTTTTGTTATATATATATATATATATATATATATTCATACCAAACATTTCTCTCACTGTGTAATTATTTTTATCTACTTATTCTCAAGCTATCTTATACGTATTTTATTTATTATTTCTTTAAATTATTATGTTATTAAAAATATTGCAGTGCAATGTATCTCCAACAATGGATAAAAATATTTTTCTTATTATTATTATTTATTATTCTTATAATTTAAAGTACATTTTTACAACGCAAAATTTCTTGTCTCAAACAATGCTATGTTTAAATCAAATATATTTGGTTATATTTATGTTACAAAATGATTTTTTCATTAAATAATGCTTATTAAAACCAAATAAAATATTATTTTGTTGGAATAAATTATTTCAAACATTTGTATTGTTTCCGTCAAATAATTTGATTTATTTTAACGTAACAATATAATTTTCATTCAACAAAATTGTTGTTTGGTATAAAATTATGTTGTTTGAATGCAACAAATATGAGTCAAGCAAATCGGATTATTAAATTTGAAGAAACCGTTCTCTCTGTGCACGCTCGATTTCGCCCGAATCCGCTCGGACACGCTAAATTCCGCTCAAATCTCGAATCCGCTCGAATCTACAATCCGCTTCAATCCGTTCAAACCCGCTCGAATTCGATCAAACGCTTGAATCCATCTTAATCCGCTGGAACACGCGCGATTCCGCTCAAATCTTCCCAAATTCGCTCAATTCCGCTCGAATCCTCTTGAATCCGCTCCAATATGCAATAATCCGCTTCAATCCGTTTGAACCCACTCGAATCCGCTCAAACACGTTCGAATCCGTTCCAATCCGCTGGAATACGCTCAATTCCGCTGGAACATGCTTGATTCTGCTCAAACACACTTGATCCTGCTCGAATCCACTTGGATCTGCTTTACTCCGCTCAAATCCGCTTGAATCTGCTCGAGTCCGCTCGAACACGCTCGATTCCGCTCGACATAAATAGACAAAGTTTACTAGTTTAGTACTCTCTCTTTTTTTCTCTCTCTCTCTTTCTCTCACACACACCACAATAACACACACACACTTTTTCTCTTTTTCTTTTCACATACTTGGTTTCTTTTTTTCCACCGCGCTCATATTGCCATCTCTTTGACAATTTTGGTCCGGAGACACACAAGGTCCGAACATGAAAAATTTTTACGTATTTAGACTTCATTTTCAAATATCTTTGAATAGAAGACACAGACAAACACATACACACTTTTTTCTTTATTTTTTCAATCCGAATCGATTGAGACTAAAAAGAAGTCAATCGGTTCAGATATTATTGAGATATGAATATTTTTACTTTTACACTATTTCTGATTTCTACAGTTTCGCGTAATAGAGACACTACCGTGCTTCTTGATTATCTGTACAAAGATAAAACAAATATTATTATAATCAATAATAAAATTTAAGGCTCGACGGAGACAAACTATAAGAAAAGCATAAACCAGAGAGCCGCAGATCCAAGGTGGAAGTGGAAATAAATATTATTATTAGTGACATGTAATATGTCTTCTATGTAAAGCACTCATTTTTATATAACAATTATGGATAAGCGTTTCGATATTAAACGAAAGTTTGACGAGAACAAAAATAAATTATAATCAGCGTAATGTTACCGTGTCGCTATAGCACCATACGTTCAGATCGACATGAATCCGCATTTACCCGGCGTCGAAGAGACCGCAGTGCACAAGGACGCCATCATGTTTGCGGGTCATAAATTTATCGGTGGTATGCAGTCGCCAGGAGTGCTCGTAATCAAGCAATGCCTTTTGCGGGAAGATGTCGAGGTGGAGGACATGAGAGATTCTCATCGTTATCACCGTGATTCTGAGTTGCGGGAAGAGAGCGGTACTGCTGGCGTGGTTGAGAGCATCCGATGCGGTCTGGCGGTACAGCTCAAAGAAAATGTCACGCCAAGAGCAATTGTCGCTCGTCAAGATAAAATTTCTAGGTGAGTAATCTTGACTACGTTACAAAGATAACAAAAGTTATTTAACTGAAATAATGATATACAAAGATATTGCACAATAGTTCGCACCGTTCAGGAAACAAATCGCGAGTGTTTCGAATTTCTGTTACGAATGTTTTCTTGTTTACGAGCAATAAGGCGATCATAGAAAACTTTTGATGCTTTGTTTTTCACCCGTGAGTCATAATGTTCTTTTGGAAAGACTGAACTACTTTTGCATGTTTATTAACAAAAGAATGAAACAGACAAAAAAGACTTTAAGTTGAAAATGTTAATTCTTCCTCTTGTATAACTATATATACAATGGAACCTCGAAATAGAGAACTGTACGGGGCTTTGAGTCTGCTATTCCAAGGTATCCTCACTCCTGCTAAGTTCAGGGATGTGGAAAGATGTCGCTTCGCCCACTCATTCTTTATATACAGGGTGTCCCAGAATTGGTTTAACATCGCT